AATGCCTACACTGAATAGGCAGGCCAGGAGAACCTCGAGAGTTTAAGAGTTCAACAGGACGTTCCAACAAGAGATGGCTGGAAAGGTCTCCGCTGGCAACGCTGATGCGAGGTGACAGCTGGACACGCTTCGGTCCCTGGGAACATACGCAGTGAGGAGATCAGAACGGCAGGAGCTGCTACGCTCTTGGAGAAGGTGAAACCCGCCTGCAATTTTAACAAAATTTGGGGGAAGTACGTTCTGGTTTTGCACTCTGTTCGTTGACCTGAGCTTCTCATTGCACTGGAGAAATGCTTTCCAATCACTCCAAGTTAAACTACTTTTTCTTCATACCTGCTGGCAGAGGTGGGGGAACATGAATTAGTTTTAGATGGAGTAGATGGAGGAAAAAAAATGTTATGCTTATCCTTGTTTTATCTGAACAGTTAATTAAAAACTAGGCACTTGTGTGATGTCCTCAGCACATCACAACTACCATAACATACGTGTCCTGTATTCTAAGCAGTGAGCACCACTGTGTGGGCAGTATCAGCTAAAACATCCTAGACAAATACTGAAGCAGCAAGAGGCTATACATGTGCAAAAGTTAACATCACCCAAAATGAAGTGTTCCCCCCCGCCCCGCCCTGCTTCCAAAAGGAAGGGTACTTAAAAACATCAAAAAAGTGGCCCTCACATTCTCTTAGTTCCCCTATAGGAATTTTGAGAGAATATTAAGGAAAGAGAGAGAAAAAAATCTTTTTTCAGAAATGCATTCTTTTCTGTTGTTTTAGGGCACTTGCTAACTAATTTAGCTCTAATATCTAGAGAGCATTTTCAATATATTGAAGACAAAGATCAAAACTTCTAAAAAGTTATCAACCACATTTCTGCAATAAGTAATTCTTGGTTCAAATTAAGTTTATAAGGAAAATACCAGGAAATATTGCCTCCTACAAAATAGGTTTTATCTAAACTCAGTACACAATAAACTGAACAATGGAAACAAGCTCTTTTTAATGTTTTTATTATAGAAAAAAAGGCTTACACTTGACTCCAAAAAAGCATTATTTTCATGAACAAAGGATTTATTACAGTGAAGTTGCTTAAAGAAACCTTTAGAGATTCAAGAAAAAAATATAATGCTGTAACTCCCTCAGATGGAACTCTAAATTATTTGCACAAGCAAAGTAAATCCCTTGGCTCTTACCACTTTTCTGACCCAGTACAGGACTTCAGATTTTCTTCTCCCCTACTCCTTGATAAACATAGCTGAGAGAAAGATTTGGTGAAAATGGCAGTACTTTTCAAGCTTGATTTTCAACCATTTTATAGCATTGGATTGACATGAAAATTCAGAAGTGACAAGACATACTTTTCTCATAAGTCTATCAGTTAAATATTACAGTTGCAGCAGATTTCAGTGCGATCTGTGTCTCGGATCATTTACCATTTTCAGGTCCATACCACAGAAGATCTCTTAGCAAGGTATTTGGCTCTTCTGACTTTATACTAAAAACAAACCAACAAAAACCTACACAAAAATGAAGGCATGCAGTTGAAACATTTCTTTGCAGTGCAGCAGAATTCAGAATTTAAGATTTTTAGTTAAAACATGACAGAACAAATTGCAGTGTTCCAGATACTCCTTTAGTTTTATAGAAAAATCAAAACTGCTGGCTCTGGTTGATCCAATATCAAAAGTAAAACTAATCCATACTTGAGACCTTATTAAAAGAGACAAATCACAGAACAAACAATACCTTACTTCCCTAGTAGTGCTACATGTGGACTAACCGTAACTCAAGAGCATCTACGCAACGTTAAAAGAAGTTTCTAAGCACATTTAAGCTTCTCACTCTTCAAAGGTATGCTAAGGCTGCACCTCAAAGTATTCTACAGATTAAAAAAAAAGTTTTAAAAAACAAGAAAATCGAGTTCTTATTTACAACTAACTATGCAAATTTACTATGACAAAAAATTTAAAAAAGGCAAATCACAGAAAGAAAAAGGAGAAAACAAAAAGAAAGAGAAGCCACATCAGACGGCTGCTATTCAAAACCTACTTTCCTCTCCTCCCCAAAGGGAAAAAAGTTAAGAGTCTAACTCACACATGGAGTTTTTCTGGAAATGATTTCCTAATCTCCTCAAATTTAGTTAACACTATTTGATTTCAAATAACTCTGAAGTGAGGAATCTACTTATTGTACTGTGCACTGTAACATGAAGCTAGTTCTTACCATACTACTTAAACAGAATTTTCTAATTTTTCCTAAAAATAAAAGCTGCATTTTCCCCCGTTAGGGTTCATATCATCGTAACTTTTATGTTGGCATAAACCTTATTTAAGTTCACCAACAGTCATATTTAACCTTCTTTAATTTTTGTGCTACATCATGTAACTTCTTATGTCATCAAGCTGCCACATAAGAGATGACATGAAAATTTGTATACTATAAAAAAAAAAAAAATTTCCATGGATACAAAGAGGAGAAACAACAAAAGCTTTTTTCCCCCCCTTCCCTCCTATGGCACACTCCATAGCACCAAAGGCTGCCACCTTATAGCTCATCCTTGAGGATTTTAACCCTGGAGAGAAGTCAGTCCTTTTCACAGTCACAGGGTTGTGTTTAAAACAACTTTTATGACTGAATAGGTAGTGAAAATGCAGGACACTGACAAATATCCCTCCTTCGAAGGATATTAAAGTTATGCTCTATTAACTCCTCTTCAGAGCAGGCAACAGTCTCAGAAGTATCAACAACCTCAAAGATATGTAACAATCTGACTTTAACATTGTAAACAGGTTCACACCATTCCGAACAGCTTGTCATTACAGTTATGCAAAGCAGTTGAAGGATGCTTAAATATTTAAGACCTCTGTCATCAAACTGCACTGTGGATTCTGATTTGCATTAAAATGTGCGTAATTACTTGCATAATTTAATATCTATAAAATTAAGGAATTTAATAGGAAATCCTGTTTTAAAGAGAGGCTTATAATGTAGCTTTCCAACAACTTTTAGCTGCATAAAGCTCTAATAAGGACTTATTTTAATATATAACTCCCACAACCTCTATCAAATAGACATTCTTAACCACCTGTAAATATATTATTACATGATAAAACAGTCCTCCAAATAGAACAATTTATTCTTAATTTTACATAAAATTTTTTTAAAAAGGTTTTTTTTCCAAAATAACGTGCAACCACTAAAATAAGTGACTTTTTGGAAAACTCTAAGCTGTCTGTAGCTCTCAGTCTCTGAAAGACTTTACAGACCTCTTATTCTTTCTTGGTTTCCATCCTTAATTTTAGATAAACAAGTGTTTAGCAAGGCTATATTATTAGTAGTTCATCACATAGACTGGAGTCAGTAATACCATCTTATTTCACTGTTCTAATGTACAATTCAAAAAAAAAATCAAAAAATAGCAGAGTCGTACCTGCAAATTCCCTTGGTTTACACTGCTCTTTGATATTAAAGACAATTAAGAGAACTTCCAATTTCCTTTTTTCCCTGTCAATATCTGAAAAGATTTGAATACATGCAAGTCAAAACTACGTAATTCCGATAAAAAGGTCCGCATTCATGAAGATCATTAATAAATGACTACCTTCAATAAATAAGTCTATTTGGAAATCCTAGAGAATTCTTTTTTCTAAACAATTTAGTCTTTTTTCTTTTCCAATATGCTTTTCTGTTTAAGCTCTCCGTCTGAAAGTTCTGTATATTTTTCCTTTTTTTCTTCTTCTTGTTCTTCCTCACTGCCTTCATCTGTGAGCTCCCGATCACCACTTCCCTTTTTAGGTGACTCACTTTCATCTAAAGCCCCTTCTGTATCAGCTGTGCAGATGCCATAGCACATGATACTGATGACCCCCAGGGGCAGCCCAAAGAGAAAACATCCCAGCAGCGGTGAACTCTTGAACACAGACTGTTGGAACAAAAATCTGAAGTCAAAAAACCCTTCTGGTGAATACACAAAGTTGCCACACAAAATTCCTCCTGACTACTTCTTCAGGGAGTAGGAATCATCTCATCATTCCTATTTTAAGTTTATAGAAGTCTCAAAACTTCTGATACTAAAGCATTCCACCGGGATGGTGAATGACAATGTGCCATAAGTTTGAAAAGCAGTTGTTTTAATAGCATCAAAGTACTAATAATTTCAGCTCTTACCTGTGCACATTAAAATTTGTTAGGCCTAAGTCATCATAAGGCATCAAAGCCACTCCTACAGGTTTTATTCAGAAGAAATGGGCTTTTGTTTTTTAAAAACTGATGCCTTTATATAGCACTTTCACAAAAGTTTGGAAGCCATGCGTACAGAAACGTGCAGATTTCAACTTAAGCTCACTGCAGAAGTTTTTGGGTTGTCTAGAACAAGCGAAGAAAGTGATTTAGTGAATAAAGTGATAAAATTCTGTTAAGCATAGCTAAACTGTAAATATGATGATAAAAACCTCTAAGTAATTCACTTAGGCGCTAGCTAGACTGAAACCATAACATTTCACAGAACACAGAAAAGCTGTCAGTTTCAGGCAAAAGGCACCAAAAGTGTCAAGGAAAAGACTTTGAATTCTCTCTCTTCTACTAGTTAAAATATATGGCAAGTTAGAAAACAAGAAAGGAGTAAAAAAAAGAGTAAGAGATTGACTAGGGTTTTGACTATACATATATTGAACACTTACCACACTGGAAAATACTATTCGAAGCTTTAAGACAGGTTCACTAGGCTTAAATCTGTATTTGTATGTTTACATATATGGATACGTACGAAAACAGAAAAAACAGTCAAAATGGGTATAAAAGTACTTCTAAATCATCTGAAAGGGTCTGCAACTTGACTAGCGACTTTAAACCAAAGAGAACAAAAAGGGAACTTACAACTACAGTGGACTTGGCGTCATAGACTATTCTCTTGATTCGCTGCAGAAATCCATCACCACCCTGTGCCTGCAATTTCAAATGGAACCATGTCAAAACTGTTGACACTTTTCAGTTATGATGCCAAAAGTTCATTCTTCAGACCTTGCAATCTTAAGCCCCTTTAGAAGGAAATAAAAAGTAATTATTCTTGCATCTCATGATGCCCAGACACTCCAACTTCTCAAGCAAGGACAAGCATTTCAACAGCCACCTGAAAAATCCTCTCAAACATGCTTAAAGCAACCAATGTCAACGGTGAACTGGCACTCTTTACCACCTCTTACCACAGAAAAACACTAGCAGAAACTACCATGTGTCTGGCTATGAAAACTCTACAATCTTGAAGAGGTCTCCTGAATTTTCCTTCTGCTGCTGTCTATCTATTTTAAATGATGATTGCAGCTGTCAGGGAAACTTAAGAGCTGAATAAAAAGAGGACATGCAGGCATAGTAAACAAAGCTCAAGCTGAATAACTACAGCCTATACCTATCACACCTCCTAATTTATATACATCTTCAAAATACTATGGGAATTCAAAGGCAATTCATCTGTTGAACAGACACAGTCTTCACTTTCTCTTTACCCAAGGAACAAATGGGCTGAAAAGCTACAATTTGGAGGAGCCAATTGAGCAGGGCTCGTTCCCCACCAACCCCCCCCAAGATTCATAAAGATGCCTGACTTCAGAAAGCTACCATGAAGCACAACAGTTTGGGATTATTCACCTTCGTATTCTTATATTCTATCAAGGAAGCAGTGGGGTTAAACTCCCCCAAAATTCCACTACAATTTGGAAAGTCTGTATTCCCTTCTCCTTTACCTGGGAAAAACTGCCATTCCTTAATAGCTACCTGATTTCTTGGCCTGAACATAGCTAAAGTGATGCCATTTTTTATTTATATATGGATATATACAGCTCTGTTTAGCTTTAATGACATCACTTATTTTTTTTTACATTTATGTGAAAGGGTTAAGATAAAGATGTGCATCCAGATAGACCTTTAATCATTCTAGCTGAAATACTGTAAACAAAAAGTACAAAGGGATGAGCGATACTATGACAAAATGAAAAGATCACAAAAAATGAAATTATTCAGAGTGAAAAAGCAGACAGAAATCAATTTTTCTTGGTGCTTCAATAAGGATATTTATATGCAGATGAGTAGATATTAATAACAACTTACAATTTGAAAACACAATAAAAGAAATGAGCATTAAAGAAATGAGAACTGAAGACCAAAGAACCATCAAGTTGCAGAAACACCCCTGCTCTTATAACTCCAAGCATGGCCAGTAAAGCCATAAACCGTAAGCAGCTCAATTTATTTTATGCTGTACTACACGTATGTGCCAGATTAAATAAAGCATCCCATACGACTGAAGGAATCCAGAGTATTACTTATTGCTACCTCACCACCTAACACTAACTGCCTGGGGCTCAGACCAGGCATTCGAAGAGACATTCCTTCTCCCAGAAGATCCTGGGGTGATTTGTTAGCACTGCCTCCCTTGGTTGCAAGTCCCTCCTGCCCGCTATGTAGGGAGGAAGGCTCTGATCCACAGCACAGCTTCTCACCCACACAGCTCTCTGCCCATCTTTAAGTACCCCGAGGGCAGAACGAACAGGAGTTGGTTTTGCCAAGGTTTTGCCATCAATTCCACATGGGTTTACAAGTTCATTTTCTTGTAACAAACCTAAAAAAATGAGTGGTCTTTTAAAGAAGATAGAGAGGTAACCTCATATCTGTCTGAAACACGCAATGTAAATATACCATAGGTTTTTCAATTGGAACTTATCACTCATCAAGCCACTGAATTTATTCACTTCTTAAAAGAAAGTAGAGTTTGAATTTATCCACTTCCTAAAAGAAAACAGAGTAAAAAGAAAGAGTGGAGTTACTCTAAGCAAGAGATTAAATGGCAATTTTAAACGCCTGCATTTAAAGCAAATCAGGAGAAGGAATACAAATCCTCTCAACATCAGCTAATGGCAAGCTACATGCAGAAAAACAGAGTTACTTTCTGTCAGAGGTAATGAACTCAGAGCAGTGAGCAAAGATATACCTCAAGAATCACAACATTCACCATCATGGAGAGGCAGAAAGATAATAGATACTAAATTAGGGTTAGCAAATTACTTTTTCCCTACTTTAATATCTTAAGGAAATCAACACCAACCAATATATTCCATGTCATATTGGAGACTTACTTCAGCTGTACCATCCAAGATATTGTTAATAAACTGAACCATGTCTTCTGTGTTCTCAATTTGCCTATCTGGTAAAAAATACTGCTGATTGGAGGTATTCAATACCACAATAGTGGGGATTGTCAAGTCACTGAAAACATAAAACAAGTGTTAGATATTTACAGAAATACTGCACAAAACATTGCAATTCAAATGTCCCCTGCACAGTTTAAAAGCGTATCCAGTAACCTTCTCTTCACATG